TATTCATTAATTGGGGATCTTAATGTCGAGTAAAAGAAGGCTTGCGCAAGACGTTTCGTTAAACATTAAAGAATCCTTCCACTCGGTAAAGTTGAGCCACAATATTTCAGGACATTTTTGGTCGTTCAGCCTTATTTGGAAGGAGCATTGCGGATAAACTCCGTGAGGTTTTACGGCTTGAAATAGTTCCTCTCAAACTGGGAGGAATTCCGCACCACGCCGTGACAACTAGCCGTGTCAAAGTGTGCTGTCTGTGAATGCAGAACGAGCAACAACTGATTAAATTTGACGTCGAACTGATATCGTCCTTTCGGCTGTCATAATTTTTGTTTTTGCCTGTAGTTCTTTTTTTTCAGAGCCAATAGGCTGGGTGATGTTTTATTTTGTTTTCGGTTGTTTGCATGGATATGATCAAAACAATCTGTTGCTGTGGTGGTGAGGACAATGACGGTTTGCCGTACGAGCGCTTCTATGACGACTCCAGTGTGACTCCAGTCAGACGAGACGACGGGCGACTCAATGGGTATGCTTGACGTTGCGTATCTTACTCATCTGTTCCGTTCCTTTTGTGTCAGTCAGTAAATTCGTAATCCCCTTCATATCACAATTAGCGGAACTGTCTGGGAAAAGAAGAGAAAGGTCACTACCATTCAGCAGAGTGAGTGACAACCCAGTATATGTCACAATATCTCAAGCTTTTTCAATTGCAATAGGGCTTGTCAAATCATCCATGGGTCGAGGGAAGCTTTTCGAGCATCAAACTTGATGGTAGAAGGTTAGCGTGTGACGGGGATCCCGTCTATTCTCCGCAACGTGCTGCGGTTTGAATTATCTTCCCGCGCGCGGTGGTTTGAATCTGCGCGCTAGAGTTGCACCGGTCCATGGGTACAATGTGATCAATGGTCGGGTTTAACTAGGATGGAATGATACATAAGAGAGGAAACGAGCTGCCACTAGCTGCCGCTCGAGCACGTATGGACGTAAACTATTCGTAACTGTGTGATAGTGTTACGAATTCGGGTTTTTGAGGAATACATTGTCTTTGATAGGGAACCATTCAGCTCGAGATGTGGCTGACGCATAGCAATACTGCGGAATAGGTTTGTGGGTGGTCAGTCGTTACCTCAGTATTTATACATGTGCAGACAATGTAGTGGCAGTACTCTGTAATGCGCGAGTGCACCCTCTTCCGCCCCTCCCTTCTTCCCCTTTGCTTTCTGCCTCTTTCACGCTAATGGCGGCCGCAACAGTAGGACGAGTCCTACACCAGTGTGATGACTACTTAATATGATTTTCCAAAATATTGTAGAATTCTTTTTTGTAACCGTGACAATCGGCTTTACAAGTGAAAATGATTCGTGCAAAGTTCATATTGCTTGGAAAAGTTAGCTGATATAGTATTCTCCCCTAAAAAGCGAGCTCTTGATAGCGCCCTTTCGTATGAGAAACAAGCGTCATCCACCGCGATGCTTACTCTCCCACTTGGTATCGCAGAACAATTCTCGTCTACAAATATTCAATTATA